AATATGGAGTTTCAATTTGGGAAGACAAAGTTCAGGGGATAACCTATAAAACAGGAGAAAATACTTGTAAAGCTACACATGCAATAAGGGTTTAATAACCAGAAAATATACTTTAACTCAAACAATTCAGTAGCAAAATAACAATCCATTTATAAATAGGCAAATTTAAACAGGTGTCATTCAAAACAAGATATGCAAATAGATCAAAGGAAGATGTAGAAATGCTGAACATCACTAATCTATTATGGTTTGAACATGACGCAGCTCCTTAAATTCATGAAGATGTTTAAAGCTCAGTCTTTTGTTAATTATTAATGGATTAGTGAGTGGTTGATGAATTTGGATGAAGACTTGATCCAATGATGGTGTCTAAATGTGGGACCTTTAGGAGGTGAGTGGATTGCATTAGGTCCCTAGGCTGGAGCTCATGATTTAATCATGGTGGTGTTATAAGGAAAGACAACATACAAGGCAGATGATGAATGGTCCCTGGTTCTGTTCTTCTTGGCAAACCATGGGGTCATTGCTCCCAACATTCCCCACTTACCAGCCTACATTCTTCACCACTGCCAGCCTCCACCAGATGTCAGACTTAAGAGACCAACCAATCCTAGACCATCAACTTTCAAACGGTAAGCTGAAGTAAACTTTCTTCTCGCCCAAGTTTCTACTCTCAGATATTCTAGTTAAAGTAACAAACAGCTGACCAACACAACACCTCACTTCAGTTAGATTGGCTATTTTCAAAAACAACAAAACATAAGTCTCACTGCAAGGTATATATCTAAGTAAAATGAAATCAGTCTGCCAGAGAGATATCTATACTCCAAGGTTATCACAATAACCAAGAAACGGAAACAAGCTAACTGCATAAGCTGACAGATAGATAAGGAAAAATGTGGTATATATACACAATGGAATACCATCCATTCATAAAAAAATGGGTGAAATCTTATCATCTGCAATAACATGGATGAAAGTGGAGGGCGTTACATCAAACGAAATAATCCAGGAACAGGAACACAAATACTGCATATTTCATAGGTGAAATAAAAATTGGTGATCTCACAGAAGTTGACAGAATGGTGGTTTCTAAAGGATAAGGAAAATGGAGGAATAAAAGGTTAATTAATAAGTACTAAACTGTACTTAGATCAGAGTAAGGATTTCTGGTGTTCCACAGTAAGATGACTAAGATGACTAGAGATGATGCTAACATACTGCTAAAATAAAAAAAAAATGTTTCTGAATGTTTTCACCACAAAGTAAATGTTTGAGGAGATATCCCAGTCCTGTGTCCACAAATGCTATAAGGCTAGATCATGGCTGGTAATGTGAGCTCACGGTCCCACAGACCAGTGAGAAGAGTGCAATATGACAGTAAGACAAAGCTTACCCTGCTATGGTATGTTTTCTGCTGAAGTGGAGTGCTACCTTGAGGCCACTGCAGCCAGCCACAGGTCTATTAGCTGGGATAAGATTCCACTTGTGAGAGGCCAGAGCCGCGCCATGACAGGCTTCTCACAAAAGAAGAATCTAATACTGGTTTCTGTCTGTGTATGTGTTTTCTTTAAAGATTTCTTAAGTATGTAAAAAAAAAGAAAATTACAGGTAACAAATGCTCAGTTACAGCTTTTGAAACTGGAAAGCATACGCATTACAGGATATTCTATAACTATTATAATTAATCCCCTAACTGTAAGATAAAATCTGAATGTCTAACACAAAAACATCAAGCACAGGTATGTTATTAATAAATACTTGATTGGCTGAAGCCTTGACATAGAATCCTGAAAATTCTAAAGGCCAGGGACAAGAAACTGTTAAGACATAGATCCTTGATGAAACAACAAAAAAATATGCTGTTGACTTAAAGGACAATGCCACCATCTAGTTAATTCTGACTCTATTGTATTGCTTACCTTATTTTATATTTTGATTTAAAGGGTTCTCTTCTGTTTGTATTAATATCTTGAGAGATAAGCACATGAGTTATTTTTGGCATTCTAAATATAAGAAGCTCATTCTCAGCCTGTTAAGTAAAATATTTTAAGTGAGAAAGTGAATGACTCACTCAAAGTCATACAAAGTGGCAAATCTGAAACTTAAAAGTTAAGTTTCTAAATTAAAGCCAGAAGCTTTTCCTAAAAGTCTGCCTAGAAAATAAGATGCTTAGATAAATAACTTCTGTTTGCTTTTCAAAAGTAAGTATTCCAGTAAGGCATTCTCCTAACTGCCTTAAATTGCCTCTAAAAAACAAAATATACATAATCTGTGAGGTTTTCATCAAAATGCTTCTTTAAACATTGCATGATATATCAAAAACATCTTTTTTTTCAGCATATGATTATCACTTGTGACAATAATAAATGTTCATCCAATTTTTCCTGAAAAAGGTATGGACTTTGTAGTTAGTACATTCTTTCAGGCTTATCAATTAAAAATGTGTAGAGATAAAAGATAATCCTACTAACTGGCTATAGCATCCTGCCTACATTGGAACAATTATCTTCTTATCCTGTTTTACCTTTATTGAGTCAACGTTTGCTGAGAGAATTGATATTGTTACCCAGCTCCAGATGCTGAAGGGATATCATGACAGAATCCATATTAGTAGTCTATTCCTAAGAACCCAAATTGCACTGCTGTACACAGGTGGCAATTAATGGATCCCATAATCAAGGTACTACTTTAAAAATAGCAGTTGTTCTTGCAAACTTTATTCTCTTTGGAAACATTTTATAAAATTTGATTCTTAATTAGTAACATTTCCATTTCATATAGGACTTTTTGTACCTTAACTGGTACAGAAAGACATATAATATCATTTCAATTATTATCAAAATGACTGATATTATATTTTACTAATATAATAAAGCTATTTAAGCTGTTGAACACATTGTGTTTTTAAGTAGCGTTTTTAAAAAATATTCGTTTTTTAAAAAGCAGTCCAAAATCATTTAGCAATGACAAATGAAAAGTGATATTTTACTCTTTTTTCTTTCTTTCTTTCTTTTTTTTTTTTTTTTTTTTGACAGGCAGAGTTAGACAGTGAAAGAGAGAGACAGAGAGAAAGGTCTTCTTTATTCCATTGGTTCACCCCCCACAAATGGCTGCTACAGCCAGCGCTGTGCCGATCTGAAGCCAGGAGCCAGGTGCTCCCTCCTGGTCTCCCATGGGGTGCAGGGCCCAAGCACTTGGGCCATCCTCCACTGCCCTCCCGGGCCACAGCAGAGAGCTGGACTGGAAGAGGAGCAACGGGGGCTAGTACCTGGGGCCTTAACAGGGATGAGAACCTGGGGTACCCGCGCCACAGGCGGAGGACTAGCCAAGTGAGCCAGGGTACCGGCTAATATTTTACTCCTCAAATGTATTTTGCTCTCCCATAAATCTAAATTAGATGCATGGTTTTATGGAGGTGATCAAAATATATATTTCACTAGCAGCAGACTGCTTTATGCTTTCTTGAAATTACTCATTACATCTAGTATATCTAAATGTAATACCTTTACTAAAGTAAAATATATATTACATCATGTGTTATATATAAAATAAAACTACTAAAACATTATTTTGTATAATATTACATGGATATTAAATGTTCAACATTACAGCAGGTTCCACCCAAGAAAGCAAGCAAAACTTAAAATGTGTTGTGTTAACATCTTTCCTTGAAGATCTCAACTGTCCTATAAAAAAACTAAAGGGATACAAAGAAACTTAGTAATTACACAGAATAGTAAATTAGATGAGGTGTTTGGGCTGGTGTAAATGACAGACACATAAATCAAGCAAGGCAATGTAGAAAGTTACACCAATTCATGCAATTAAAATTTGCGTGGGCTCAAGATGAGCCTTGCTATTATTTTCTCACTACATCCTGTTTTTTTCCTTCTTTCTCCAGCCCATCCCTGTATCTTGCTCCTGTTTGTCCTTTTTCCTCTGGTCCTCTCACAATTTGAACTATCTTGGGCATCTTTTCCCACAAATTCTTTACTTAGACTTCACCTTTCTTAAGCTGAAAGGTAGCATGTTAGTGGGGGGAATTATTGCTTTCTGCAGCTACAGCAACTTAATGCAGTTTCAGCTCCAGGGGCCAAAGTCCTTTATCTCTTTGTGTTCTGCCATCACCTGGACATGAATTCTTTCCTCAAGTTTCACTTATGGCCCAAGATGGCTGTTAGAGCTCCAGTTGCTACAAATGTTCTGAGAAGGAGGAAGATGGGAAAATGAAATAGACACTTACTCTCAAGGTGAGTTTTCTTGATAGTTTTCATTGTATTTGATAGGGAATTGCTTTGATAGAAAAGAAATACAAAACGGTTTGAAGTATATGCATAGTTTTTGTTTCAAAATATATATTTTCCATGATTTTCAATCAAACCTCTGTGGTTGTCAAAATTCCAAATTAACGATTTCCTTCAAGAATTAATATCATTGCCAAAACCAGATTAACATATGGATAACTGTAATAAGATAATGGCAGCCACATTAGAGTGGTTGTCAGGACATTAAACAGATGCTACTTTGTCAAAAAGCTCCTTACAGCCCATATATATTACAGGCATCTTCACATAAAGTATAAATAATTCTGCTATAAAATCTGAGAATGATAAGAACCAAGAAAAATTATCCAAGTCACAAATTTCTCAAAAAATAAATAAATAAAGGCATTCTTAAAATACAATAAGCTGTGCCCATAATTTCTGTTGTGGTCCTTAGTTCTATCTGGAAGCATTTTTTTTTTGTATGTCTCACATCTTTTTTTTTTTAACTTTTATTTAATGAATATAAATTTCCAAAGTACAGCTTATGGAGTACAATGGCTTCCCCCCCCATAACTTCCCTCCCACCCGCAACCCTCCCCTTTCCCACTCCCTCTCCCCTTCCATTCACATCAAGATTCATTTTCGATTCTCTTTATATACAGAAGATCAGTTTAGCATACATTAAGTAAAGAATTCAACAGTTTGCACCCACACAGAAACATAAAGTGAAAAATACTGTTTGAGTACTAGTTATAGCATTAAATCTCAATGTACAGCATACTAAGGACAGAGATCCTACATGAGGAGTAAGTGCACAGTGACTCCTGTTGTTGACTTAACAAATTGACACTCTTGTTTATGGCATCAGGAATCACCCTAGGCTCTTGTCATGAGCTGCCAAGGCTATGGAAGCCCCCTGAGTTCACTGACTCTGATTATATTTAGACAAGGCCATGGTCAAAGTGGAAGTTCTCTCCTCCCTTCAGAGAAAGGTACCTCCTTCTTTGATGACCCATTCTTTCCACTGGGATCTCACTCACGGAGATCTTTCATTTAGGTTTTTTTTTCCCAAAGAGTGTCTTGGCTTTCCATGCCTGAAATACTCTCATGGGCATTTCAGCCGGATCTGCATGCCTTAAGGGCTGATTCTGAGGCCAGAGTGCTGTTCTTAGACATCTGCCATTCTATGGGTCGCTGGTATCTCGCTCCCAGTAGATCATTCTCTCCCTTTTTATTCTATCAGCTAGTATTGCAGACACTATCTTGTTTATTGCTCCCTTTGATCTAGTCCTATCATATGATCATGTGAACAGAAATTGATCACTGGGACTAGTGAGATGGCATTGGTACATGCCACCTTGATGGGATTGAATTCGAATCCCCTGGTATGTTTCTAACTCTATCTGGAAGCATTTTGATTACATTCCTTTTGGCAATAGGGCAGAACTGAATTTTCTTTGTGACTTGTTTTTTTTTTTGTTTTTTTTGTTTTTTTAGATTTTATTTATTTGAGAGGTAGAATTACAGATAGTGAAAGGAAGAGACAGAGAAATGTCTTCCATCTGCTGGTTCATGTTTCAAATGCCCACAACTGTCAGGGCTGTGCTGATCCAAAGCCAGGAGCCAGGAGCTTCTTCCAGGTCTCTCACAAGGGTGCAGGGACTCAAGCTCTTGGGCCAACTTCTACTGCTTTCCCAGGCCATAGCCATAGCAGAGAGCTGGGTCAGAAGAGGAGCAGCCAGGACTGGAACCAGCGCCCATATGGGATGCAACATCACAGACAGAGGATTAACCTACCACACCACAGGGCCAAAAACAGCCATTTTCAAATGAGCTCATAAATTGTTTTTTTTTTAAATAAAGGTTTGCTTTATTTTAAAACAATAACTAATTGAAGCACTAGCCAAAATTCAATACTGATACAAATGTAAGTTTCTTGGGAGGTCAAAATATGTCAGGCGAATTTTCCTAACTTTTTGAAGGCAGAAATTTTAAACATAAAACAATTAGAAACAATGCAAGAATATGTAAAATAAGCCAGTTTAAATTTAGCTGAATAAACAAACCATGTAAATTACCTCAGTTTTTGTTAATATTTAAGGAGAACAACATAAATTTTTAAATAACTTAAAGGTGAATGTCTATTCGTGTTTCTTACTCCTCCCAGGAAGTATAACTGGTTTTTTTTTCCCCTAAACTAGATTTAAATAATACAAATACTTACTCATGGTAGGAGATTCTGGCACTAACTATAGCTGAGTTTATCAGAAACAGAAAATCATGTGAGCTTATTAAGCATTTAAAAGTAATTACTTACAGCAAGTCCTTAGAAGCCCTAGATTAGAAAGGCAGGTCTCCACTTTCTAATAACACCTAAGGATTATACTGCGTAATATAATTCATTGGAGCAGCATTCTATAAATGACAAATAATTTATAGAAATTTGCCTATTCAATAATGTTTCATTAAAAATTTTAATATTTGGCCAAAATATTAACTTTATAAACTCCATTATGCTGACATCTCCAGAAGTATTAAATTAGCAACATGTCACCTTTATGATGCCATTCATGAAACAGAAAAGAAAGTGGTACGTTTCTAGTTTTTAGTTAAAAAGGGATTTAATTCAGCAATGTGATTTGTCCCTGTTTGGAAAATTACATTTTCATCCTCAGCACTGCATGGCAATGAGGCAAAAGCAGCTTTCCTTCAGTGGAAGGCATTGTGGAATTTGAGCATTGAACATCATCTGGTTCTTACTCAAACCCAGCTCCAAAAAATGTGAGAATCTAAGATATAAGTTCTGTTCAAGGCAAGAAGATTCCAATCTCAAATATTTCACTCCAACAACTTATGTTATAGCAGCTGTTACATCACTGAATCGGAAATGATCACAGAAAACAATGATGGTAACAGTACCCTCCATGGCTGTCATCAGTACTAATTTTTACATAAACTGTCTTACATCCAAATATATGCATATAAAACATTTGAATAGATAAATTAGTGTTAATTTAAAATGCACAATACAATTCACAAATGTCCTTCTAAATGTTCTGAATTTGTACAAGTGTTTTAAGACTGAAAACCTGAACATCCTGGCTACACTAAGCAACAGGTCAGAACTTGCAACACTACAGAGTTCCAGAACTGAGCATGTATCAAAGCAAAAACCAAACATCTAGTACTTTTCGTTATTGCTTCGTCCTCTAATTAGGTTAAAAAAGGAGACCACTGAATACTAAAGTCGGGATTTACTAAATAATGTTGATTTCTACTAGCCAAACACAGCCCTCAAAAACCAACAGCTGAACCCAGGATAGTCTTTCTCAGCATACTGTCTATTAGGAGTTTGAGACATTTTCAATTAAAGCCTTCATTTTTCCTGTAGACTTCAACATATGTGGTCCAAACAACACCGTGTCTGAAGTGGACTCTGATTCACACTTTGGAATTCCTTTTTCAACTTCACCTGGGCTATCATTTCGATACCAATAGGCAAATTTCTTTTTCAGAGCCTCTGCTATTAGGGCACCAGGGTCAGTAGCATCCACTGGCTTGGGCTTTACATCTTGCTCTGGCTTCTTCACTGCCCGGAGTTTCACACTGTTCATATCTTTAAGGATCTCCAGCATATTTGGCATGTCGGGTTTCTTTGGATTGTTTTTAACCAAAGTCTTTCCAGCATTGGCTTTTTTCTCCTTTCACTCTTTAATCAGATCAATGGCAGACAGACTTTGGTGGAGGGCTGGTGGAGGGGGAGGTGGGGGTGGAGACGGAGGGGGTGGGAGAGGGGGTGCTGCTGTGGTAACAGATGCGGTAGTATCTAAATCACAGACCTGCAATGAGGTGTTGCTGCTCTTGCAGGGTGACAGTTTTGGCAATCTGAGCTCTGAGAACAGCAAGTTCATTTTCAAGTGCACAGATCTTCTGCAGTGCTTCTTCATTTGCCAGTGTGGTAGTCTTCAGCTGTGACTCTTCTTGAGACAAGTTTGGTGAGGAAATCTGCCTGCCAGGGGGCTTCTCAAAGAAAGGAAGGTCATCCTGGAGGGGTGGCCTTGACCTGACCTCTGTCCTTAGTCTTGTTGAACATTCTCCTTCTTCTTTGGCTACCCATCCAACATCAGCCAAAGACGCCACTGTACCCTCTCCTGGGTTGGGGCTCCATTCTGGTGCATTGCTGGTGAGCTGAAACTGAACTCTTGGGCACTGAATCAGAGATAAATTAGTACCAATCTTCCTTACGATACTTCGAGATGAACCATAAGGCTTTCCAGACCAAAGTACCGATTGCATGCTTACTCCAACTTGTTGAAAAACCATCCTAATCAGGCGGTTAATCCAGCCAAGCATTTAGATGGCAAAGTCTCGCCAAATTTGCATTTCAAGTGTTTCAGGCATACGTAGCAGCACATGGTCCATAAAGCACACTTGGCCACACAGCACCAAGCACCTTCTCCAGCTCATCATAAAATGTTTTTTAAAGTAACTTGATATTTTCTTTATTTGAAAGACAGAGAGACAATGAGAGTCAAAGAGAGAATTAAACAGAGAGCTCTCTATCTACTAGTTCACATCTGGCCTGCAATAGCCAGAGCTGGGCCAGGTAAAAGCCAGGAGCTAGGAAATATATCTGAATTTCCCACATGGCTGGCATGGACCCAAGTACTTGAACCATCACCTGATATCTTCTGAGGTACATGTTAGTACAAAGGTGTAATTGAAACTTAGCTAGAACTCTAACTTAGGCAACTCCAAAATGAGACATAGGCAACCCAGGAGGTTTCTTAACAGCTGCACCAAATGTGCATTCTGGAATTCCTTTTGTAAAATGTAAAGATAAAAATACAACATCTATTCCAACAATAATCTACAAAGAAAACTCAAGTTAATACACACACACATATGTGTGTATATATATATAATTCATTATAATTATATATATATATGTCTGTGGAATTCATTATAGTTACAGAGTGCAACATCAAGAAGAAAATAATTCAGCTTTCTTCTCTGTATATCAGTGAGAGTTAAGAAATTGGAACAGAGAGGAGTTTGGCCTTGTTAACAATACAGGCCGTTATGGGAAGACTCTTGAAAAGAAGGGGAAACCCTTCAGGATGTCATCAATCGCCAGAGGCAGCAAAGGAACCATTATGTATGCTCAGTTTAAAAGACAAATCACTTTTTTATTTTTTTGTATTAAAATTGTTTTTTTTAAAATTTTTTTAACAGGCAAAGTGGACAGTGAGAGAGAGACAGAGAGAAAGGTCTTCCTTTGCCATTGGTTCACCTTCCAATGGCCGCCGCGGCCAGCGCGCTGCCACTGACGCACCATGCTGATCCGATGGCAGGAGCCAGGTACTTATCCTAGTCTCCCATGGGGTGCAGGGCCCAAGCACTTGGGCCATCCTCCACTAAAATTTCCAAAGTACATCTTATGGATTACAATGTTTCCCCCCCCATAACTTCCCTCCCACCCGCAACCCTCCCCTTTCCCTCTCCCTCTCCCCTTCCATTCACATCAAGATTCATTTTCTATTCTCTTTATATACAGAAGATGAGTTTAGCATATATTAAGTAAAGATTTCAACAGTTTGCACCCACATAGAAACACAAAGTGAAAAATACTGTTTGAGTATTAGTTATAGTATTAAATCACAATGTATAGCACTTAAGGACAGAGATCCTACATGAGGAGTAAGTGCACAGTGACTCCTGTTGTTGACTTAACAAATTGATACTCTTGTTTATAGCATCAGTAATCACCCTAGGCTCTTGTCATGAATTGCCAAGGCTATGGAAGCCTTTTGAGTTCACCAACTCTGACCATATTTAGACAAGGTCGTAGTCAAAGTGGAAGTTCTCTCCTCCCTTCAGAGAAAGGTACCTCCTTCTTTGATGACCCGTTCTTTCCACTGGGATCTCATTCGCGGAGATCTTTCATTTAGGCTTTTTTTCTTATTTTTTTTCTCCCGCCAGAGTGTCTTGGCTTTCCATGCCTGAAATACTCTCATGGGCTTTTCAGTCAGATCTGTGTGCCTTAAGGGCTGATTCTGAGGCCAGAGTGCTGTTTAGGACGTCTGCCATTCTATGGGTCTGCTGTGTATCTCGCTTCCCATGTTGGATCGTTCTCTCCCTTTTTGATTCTATCAGCTAGTATTTGCAGACACTAGTCTTGTTTATGTGATCCCTTTGGCTCTTAGTCCTATCATTATGATCAATTGTGAATGAAATTGATCACTGGGACTAGTGAGATGGCATTGGTACATGCCACCTTGATGGGATTGAATTGGATCCCCTGGGATGTTTCTAACTCTACCGTTTGAGGTATGTCAGCTTGAGCATGTCCCGAATTGCATATCTCTTCCCTCTCTTATTCCCACTCTTATATTTAACAACGATCACTTTTCAGTTAAGTTTCAACACTTAAGAATAACTGTGTATTGATTACAGTATTCAACCAAAAGTATTAAGTAGAACAAACAAAACAATTACTAAGAGGGATAACGTATTAAGTTGTTCACCAACAGTCAGGGCAAGGGCTGATCAAGTCACCGTTTCTCGTAGTGTTCATTTCTCTTTAACAGATTTCCTTTTTGGTGCTCGGTTATTTGTCATCGATCAGGGAGAACATATGATATTTGTCCCTTTGGGACTGGCTTATTTCAGTCAGCATAATGTTTTCCAAATTCCTAACAGGGGTCACTTTTCAGTTAAAATTTAAACACCTAAGAATAATTGTGTTAATTACAGAGTTCAACCAACAGCACTCGCACACAAAAATACTAACATGGATAAAGTATTACATTGTACATCAACAGTCATGACAAGAGCTGATCAAGTCACAGTTTCTCCTAGTGTCCATTTTACTTCAACAGGTTTCCTCGTGGTGTTCAGTTGTTTGTCGCCGATCAGGGATACCATATAGTATTTGTTCCTTTGGGCCTGGCCTATTTCATTCAGCGAAATGGTGTTCAGACTCCTCCATCTTGTTGCAAATGACTGGATTACATTGTTTTTTACTGCTGAATAGTATTCTATAGAGTACATGTCCCATTATTTCTTTATCCAGTCTGCCATTGATGGGCATTTAGGTTGGCTCCAGGTCTTGGCTATCGTGAATTGTGGTGCATTAAACATTAGGGTGCAGACTGCTTGTTTGTTTCCCCATTTCAGTTACTGTGGGTAAATTCCAAGTAGCGTGATGGCTGGGAAGAAAGGCATGGTGATATACCGGGATCTGAGGAATACTCCAGACTGACTTCCATAGTGCCTGACACCAGACTGCATTCCCACCAACAGTGCGTTAGTGACCCAGAAACTGCATCTGCTCAACATGGACCATTGTTGGCCAAAATCTGAATTTCCCCATCCTTACCTCTGTGA